AGGAAAAAATAGACCCAGCAAGTTCCAGAAATATCAAGCCTTCAAGAAATCACACCTGAAGTGAAAACTAGGAGGCAAGTGATGGTTTCTCGAAGTTAGTGAACTGTGGTTCCATTTGGAACTGTGAAAACCACAACAATTAAGTCTATCATGATTATTGCAACTATAACATACTCAAAGAGAAACACTTTGTTTTTATCTGAATGACTGAAGGTAATGACAAAGACAAGTATAATTATAAATAGACATAGCATGAATAGAAATGGAAAATGTATAGTGCCTAGATTTCTGTACCTGGTTCTACAAAGAATAGCCTCTCCTATTTCTCAAACAACATTGGGCACAAGAACCACGTGGAAATATGTTGAAAGGGCAGGTTCCAAGGTCTTCTCACCAGAAATTCTGATACAGGTGCCCAAAATGACTTTGATGATCATGGCTAGGGAACATATTTGGACAAAGACTGCTCTCAAAGAAGATCTTTAAGAGGCAATTTTCAAGAGGGGACAATTGATTAAATTCATTGTGTTCACAGCAATGTGATTATGGCAGCTTAGTGGCAGATGTTGACACTTCATGTAATTAAAATTTTTTAAGGCAAAATGCAGTAATTAGTCCTTTGGGAGAGAAAGAGTAAGTAAAAGTACAATTTCATTTGTTTCACGGACAAGTATAAAGACAGAAATAGTCACTAGTTAGATTAAAATATATATTACATTGAAAACAGAAATTACATTGAAAATTGACATATTAATCTACCATTTTGCTAGTCAATTACAGAATTGGTGGTTAAACAATTTCAGTTATTTTATACTTATTAAAAGTAGTTAATCTGTGTTTTCTGTAACATCTTGCACTGTAACTCTTTTTATGATTACAGTAGAAACCTTAAAGAGGAAAACAACCCAACTTGGTCAGTCCTAACTTGTTCTCACTTCTAACAGCTCTTCCTTGGCAAGTTCCTAACCCTTACAGTCCTAATTGTGTGTGTACACACTCATACACATGCACAAGTGTTCACTAAACCCAAATCATAAAGTGTTTCCATGGCAACTTTAATCATCTTTCACTTTTTTATTATAAAAGAATAAATATGTTCAGTTTAGATGCTGTAGGTATAAAGATATTCTGACTAAATCAAAGATGAAGAGTATCCTTACTTCCCACCCACCCCCCGCCGCCCTTGGCCATGGACTTCATAAGCCTTGCTTCTTTTTCTACCACAATAATGATCCTTTCTTTTTGTGAGAAGCCCACATACTATGCTTAGGTACCAAATGATCATGTGAGAGAATCTTGGGATACAAACCAGATAGAGTGGCTTGTCAGTTAAGTAAAAGGTAGATAGGTAGGTAGGTAGGTAGATTAGATAGATAGATAGATAGACAGATAGATAGATAGATAGATAGTAGGCAACTCTGTATCTGTTCACAAAATATTCCATTTCTTGATTTTTAAATTGTTTCATTAAAACTCAAAGATCAAAATATGTTGCTCAAAATTTCCCCAGGCAAGATTTCTGCTGCTTCTTACCTTCACCCTATAAAGACAGATCCAAATCTTGGGACATTTTTTCTCAGTAGAAATCACAAACATAAGCTATTAGTATTTTTATTTTGAACCCTGATCTATACTTCAGTTCTTTTATGTCTTGTTTAGCTGAGCATAGACAAAAATCCGCATTGATATTTTGGGTAAAGGAATTTTTTTACCTCAACAGAGACAAAGACAGAGAGACAGAAAGAGACAAAGGAAAGACTCTTATTCACAGGGTCCGTTTTCCTCTGCTTCTGGTGGTTTGGTGTCACAGAGACACTGCTTTGTGGTATAAGTTTTGTGAAATTCATAATGCTTCATTATCTCAGCCAGCTTTCTCTTCATTTTGACTGTTTTCATTTTCATAGCAGCTCATGTAAATAGGCTGATCCTGCTTTGCATAAGCGTGTTGATTTATATGAATGCTATTTTGATCTCAAATTGATTGAATACTAAAAAGAAAGTCTAAGAAAAAGAGTAACGTATTATAAAGGACTCCTGTCAAAGACAAAAGATCCTACGTACGTTCCCAGTTAGTGATGGGAAATTTTGTATTGTCTAGTTTTTAGAAGACAATATTTCCAAAGAAATGTATATATATAAAGAAATATAGCAAAACACCATAATATTAAAGCCTAGGTGTTTTAAAATACCATGGATTAAATTATATTTTAAAAACAGGACTCCACCTAATAAAAGCTCATGTAACATAGAAAGGCATGAGGTTTAGTACTATCTACAACACCACCATTAAATAGCTTTAAGAGTATTTATGGTTCTATATTGACATTGAAAATGAAAGAAAAGTTAATGTTCACAACCCAGAGCCAGAACTGTGCTGAGTACTTCCTATGGATTATACTTATTTTATGTCATTTTCTTTTTCTTTTTTTTTTTTTTTTTTTTGAGACAGAGTCTCGCTTTGTTGTCCGGGCTAGAGTGAGTGCCGTGGCGTCAGCCTAGCTCATAGCAACCTCAGACTCCTGGGCTCAAGCAATCCTTCTGCCTCAGCCTCCCGAGTAGCTGGGACTACAGGCATGTGCCACCGTGCCTGGCTAATTTTTTCTGTATATATATATTTTTAGTTGTCCAGATAATTTCTTTCTATTTTTTAGTAGAGACGGGGGGGGGGGGCTCGCTCTTGCTCAGGCTGGTCTCGAACTCCTGACCTTGAGCGATCCACCCGCCTCGGCCTCCCAGAGTGCTAGGATTACAGGCGTGAGCCACCGCGCCCGGCCGTAAGTCATTTTCTTTTAACTCTAAATGCCTGCACTACTGCTATCTCCTACTGGTGTTCAGTAATTAATTGGCAACTTGTTGGATTTTTCTTTTATTATAGCTAGTTGCACTTTCTTCCTCATTTTCTTCCCCATCCATTATATCCCCAATGAAAGTCCTACATGCCCTTAAATTACCAAAAAAAAAAAAAAAAAAAAAACCCCACTCTTGGAAGACAAAAATTGATATCAATATTTGCACCTCGGTTTGCATCCCTTTCCCAAGAACACTGATTTTTCAAATCTTGTCACTCATTGTGTAGTAATAGGTGTCCTCCCCACCACCACTCGGAAAGATATTTGCGGTAGAAGAGGTTATCCTGGAGCAGACTGAGGAGCTGGGGACCCCTCCTCATCAGCCCTGACATTTGACCTCTTCGTCAATAACCTCCTTCACTCACCCTCCCTACCCTGGAGACTGACGTCGGCCATTTTGGAAGGAAACTATAAGAGCGGCCACAGTTGTATTCTGACAGATTCTAACTTCCACAAAGTCTGGTTCTCCCATTGCTACACAGTTTTCCCTGCTCCTTACTTCCCCGTGCCTATCAAAATCAACACCCTCACCTGAGACAACTTGCACATGTCATCCCTCCTTGCAAGTTAAGAGACCTTACCTAATCCGGAATTGCAGGCATTTGTCTATGTACATATCATTCAATTTATGTGATTGTGAGTATCTTATGTATGCCTATGGATGACATACAGAATCAAAAACATTGTTTATTGGAAAGCACACTGGAGAACAGAATTCCAGTTTCAGCCCTTTTGACTTCTGTCACCTTGAACAAGATAGTGACATTTACTGAGCCTCAGTTTCCTCACCTTTAAAAGGGGGCTAATAATACCTTCTCCAGTCAGTCACCTTCCAAGGTTGGCAGTGTAAGGACTAAGCAAGCTCACATAAGCTAAAGTGCTTTGTAAAATGTAGAATTTATAAAAGTGTGAATGATTATTATGCAAATGATGAGAGTATATAACTGAGCTCTAAAAAAGCAGGTTTATCTATGTATGTAGGTTACCAGTCTCTTTTAAAAAATGAGGCTCCTGGCAATCCTATCAGCAAGGGGCTGGAGATTTGCATTTGACAGCAAACCGAAAACAATTCAACCTCAGAAATTTTACTTTTACAAAGGAATCTGCCAAAAAAAAAAAAAAAAAGAAAAAGAAAAGTATGGAAACACTGATAGGAGTTGCCCTAACTACTGAAAATCTCTCTGATGTTTCATCTCCTGGAGATATTATTAATGTAAAAGTAAAACAAAAACAAAGCAAAATTCTCACTACAAAATATTCTGACAGTTTTTTCCTATGTATCTCATATTTTGAACATTCTGCATGTTTTTTTAACATTGAATACCTGAGATGTGTGTACTATAGAATCAAATAAGTTTACCAGACTTGTCTTTAAAAGCTCAGGGGTAAATTTTTTAAAAATATATAGTGTTGAAGACACTCAATGAGGAGAAAATTTCCTGAAGTTAGACTTTGCCATGAAAGCTTACTAAGGAATACTCCTAAGCACGCAGATAGTCTTCTTGTATTGCCATTTAGATCTATCATTCTGATTGATCACTGTGTAGTTGGCTATTATTGGGCCTAATTTAACCCTATACACTCACACATCCATCTACTCTGTCTATTGTACCTGACATTCTACAAATTACTTACTCATGCAAATGACGACCTAAGGCAACCTTTTAGGATATTCGTGTTTAATTATACAAATGGTCCTTGATAAATAAGATTATACATCCTTCCATATGTTTATTCCCCCCTTGATGAAAGGAAATTTAATTTTCATGCAGATTTGGTGGGGACAGTGTTTAAGAATTGCTGAGTTTTATGTAGTCTGCAGATCCATCCAGTTTGCAGAAGCTGACAAAATCACTCCACTTCTCACCAGGAGATGAGCAATTTTTTTCATTAGGCTTAAATCAACCCCGCTGCATTCTGAAATCCTAAACAGCCCGTTTTGTGTTCACAGAGTCAAAACCAAAAGGCATAAAATAAAAACTATAAATAAATGAGGAAGAGCCTGCTCTCCTTTGCGATGATGAAGTTGCCAAGATCAAAGTTTATCTCCTTCTGTTGTGTCGAGTTGCCTTTGGTTGCCGGTTTTGTTTTGTTTTTTTTCAGCCTGAGGGTACGTTGGTTTTGACCAGTCTTGTTGATTTCTCTTTGGAGGTCTGGGCAGTGAATTCTGCAGGAAAAGCCCCCAGTCGCTGGGCGTGGTGTAGAACGGGGCCAGCCCCCCCAGAAGGTCTCAGAGCCCCCAGGTTCCATGCGGTCTCTTCCACCCAAGCAGTTGTCAACATCAGCGCCCCCGAGACGCCCAATGGAATCGTCAGTCTCTACAGGTTGTTCTCCAGCAACACCAGCGGGGCCCAGACCGTGGTGAGCAGCAGCACTGAAAATCCAGGACTGGTTAATTTTTAAAAACCATTACCATGGTGCCCTGGCTTTTTCTTCCTGATTCTTCTTTCTTATCCTTCTGTTCTCAATTGCCCTCTGGTGAACTTGTTATAAAAATCTCTCTGAGAAGAAAAAATATGCTGTTGGGAAACATAGAAAATATGTAAACTCTCAAGAAGAGAAATGCTAAAGGTGGTATTAAAGGCTCTACAAATGTAAGAAACCTAAGACTTTAGAGACATCAAATTGGTTTCATTTAATTAGAAAACATAGGTCAAAAACTAAACAGGATGGTGGTTTATAGTAAGGGGTCAACAAATGGTAATTGCTGGTGGTGTAAATGGTAATAGGAAAAAGACAAAATAGAGCAAAGAATATCCTCAGAATCCCCATTTTGACATGCACAGTCTCACAATAACACATCAAAAACGCAGTCTTCCTTCTGGTGAATTCGCGGAAGTTCTAGCTCTTTGGAAGAGAAAGCAGAACATCTCCGCCAGAGCAGCCCTGGCTCCACTGTTTGTTTATTAACACACTGGGGCACATGGGGAGACAGGAGAGATTGTTCAGGAAAATCAGCTGTCACACTGTGTGTTAGCCAAGCCACTTGCTGCAAGGGACGTTAAGAATCCAGTAGACCAGTTTCTACATTATCAAAATGAAGAGACCAGCAGCCAGCAGGATGAAGTCTCTTGTCCCTGTGGTACAGCTTGTGTCACTTTGACTTTTCTCATGAATAAGTGGAGATTATAATGCTTTGTTCACGCAATCCTCAAGCAGAGATTTTGCAGATCCTGGTATTACATTATAAATTATTTAGACCAATTTAGGGAACAATTTGGGCGAGTGTGGAGAAATCCTCTTGAGGCCAGAGTGCCAGGTACTGAAGCACAATTCAGAAGATAACTTACACACAAGAAAGGCTCAGATGGAATGTTAAAGGGACATTAGCATATTTTCCACAGGGCTCCCTATTCAATAAATATAGATGATGTAAATATAATCAACCCTTGATTATCCATGCTTATAAAATGATAACATTAATAAACTAAAATAATTTATATTTGGAGTGCATTGTATGCATTTTTTTAAAATACCAGATAGCTCTTCTTAATTATGCGTTACTAATGTCAATGTGAAAATTAATTTCCAGTTTCTGAACTCTTCTGGTTCTGAGAGTACTTAATAAAACCACAATGAGGTCAAAAGTTTGCTCCAAATAAACCAAAAAGTTTATATTTTGACAAAGATGATTGAGAGGAGACTATGATGTTTTGTAAAACCCAACACCCTCTGAGGAAGAGATGGACTTTCAAGCTTTTAAATATACCTGTACCTGACTCTAACATTAATCCAAGGGGATCTTTGACCCAGAAATTGAATGCAAGTAACTATGGCAGAATATGGACCATGGTGAATGTTGACTAGAAATATAACTGAAATACAGATTTTTTTTGAAAAGGCATCTTCTGAGGGTCAAAGAATTTGATTGATATCTTGTATGTTCTGTGTCACTTTCTAATGCCTTTCTAAGATGAGATAATGTAAGATAGTATGCCTAGTGATTTCTGTCCTATCTCAAACGTCACTTTATGTATCCACTCCCATGTTAGCTATTTAACTGTTACGTTATTCAGCTATTTTTTCACTATTGAAGTCATGCCGCTCTAACTGGATTGGTAATTTCTTGAGGACAAATGCTATGCTAAAGGCCATGCTGCATCTCCCAGAGTGCCTAGCACGGGACTCTATTCATATGAGGTGGGGTTCTTGATTTATCAGTTGTCTTTGATCTGGGGACACTACCTCATCTAGTCTTCTCTCTCCCTCCAGCTGTCCGAAGGCATGGCCAGCCAGCAGACTCTTCATGGCCTACAACCCTTCACGACCTACTCCATTGGGGTAGAGGCCTGCACCTGCTTCAACTGTTGCAGCAAGGGGCCAACGGCTGAGCTGAGAACTCATCCGGCTCCACCCTCAGGACTGTCCTCACCGCAAATCCAAGCACTGTCCTCAAGGACAGCCTCCTTCCAGTGGAGTCCCCCTCTGTTCCCCAATGGTATCATTCAAAGGTAGTGGCAAGGGCATTATATGTAACCTAATCATCTGTACCCCCATAATATGCTGAAATTAAAAAAAAGAAAAAGAAAAAAATATATACTATAACTTAAAAAAAAAAACAAAAAACAAAGCTAGTGGCTCAGACAGAAGGATGAATAAAGTAGAACAAGGCTGCATACAGACATATAGCTACCCAGCACTTCCCAAGAAGGACTTGGTTATTGAATACGTATCTATAGCAAAATAGACAAATAAATTGATTAGAGTGGTAATGCCACTTACAAAGCACTTAAATCATAAAATCAACTAATGATAGAAAGGTAAACAACATAATTGTCATTACATAAAAAAAAGACAAGGTAATGGCTTTGTATTCATTGAAAGAATATGTTCCTCATGGTTCTCTGGAATCATTCATTTTGTAGCCCTTGGCTGGAACATCAGAAACTCATAGTTAAATCAGAATTGCCCTAAACATAGATAATTATGTTTAAATTACTTAACATAATTTAAAATGTTGTAGTGCACCACTGTTGGAAAGAACAAAGAAGTTACTTTACTCAAAATCATCTGGTGGAAAAAAGATTTTCTTTATTCTAAACAGAGAAGAAAAATTTATCACTCACCTCTTCAAAGAGAAAAATTATCTCTACCAACAAGGATTACTAGTCGCTGAGTAAACAGTGATGTGTCTATAGATGGTGACTTTTCTTGTCATTTCTTGGTTACATCTGCTGCTCATTTCCAACAGCATTAAATAAAGTGTTTCTGGGAGCACTTCCCTGCAAATGGAAATTTTAAAGAGCTTGTAGTGTGATGGAAACAAAATGTCTTCTCACAAAATAGATCCAGTTTTTAAAGAGAGAGTTAAACTAATTCCATTGCTGTCTTCACTCTGCATATCCATTCTCATTTTAGCTACGAGCTCCAACTCCATGTGGCTTGCTCTCCTGAGTCCGCCCTGCCCTGTACTCCCAGCGAAACAGAGACAAAGTACACGGGGCCAGGGCAGACAGCCAGCCTTGGGGGTCTCCAGCCTTTCACCACCTACAAGCTGAGAGTGGTGGCGCACAACGAGGTGGGCAGCACAGCTTCTGGATGGATCAGCTTCACCACCCAAAGAGAATGTGAGTACAAGTGGCTGCTACGGTAAGAAACAGGAGGGTAGTCAGGAAAGGCTTGTCCTGAAAAATCTAGGGGAAACCACTTTTTTAAAAGGATTGAGTTGAGTGTCCAATTACGTTGAATGCTACATGAAACATCGATGAGATGACTACTAGAGAAAAAATGCCTTCTGGATTTAATAATATGGAAGTCAAGGGCCAATTTAGGAAGATTTTTCATGTAGCGACAGGGTAAAAATCAATTCAGAGGAAGTTAAACAATGAAGAGGAAGAAAGAAAATGAGCAAACACCGTAGACCATTTTTAAAAGAAATATTGCTACTCCTTTTCTTTTTTAAATTATATGGCATGATCCCTAGTATTTCCAGAAAGCATTGAGACATGATTCTATGAGAAAAAGTCATGGAGCAATTGAGCACAGAGAAGGGCAATCAGCTAATTAATTGGGGGGGGGGAGGAGCTTCCTTACATTTCTATGAAATACAGTCATGCATCGCTTAACGCTGAGGATACGTTCTCAGAAATGCTTCATTAGGCAATCGTCTTGCGAACGTCACAGCGTGCACTTACACAGACCTAGATGGTGCAGCCCACTGCACACCTGTGGCTCCTAGGCTATGAGCCTGCACAGCATGGTACTGTACTGAATACCGGAGGCAGCTGTAACACAGTGGCAAGTGTTTGTGTGCTGAAACACATCTAAACATAGAAAAGTTACAGCAAAAATACAGTACAGAAAATAAAAGGTAGAGCACCTGTGCAGGGCAGCTTCACTATAATCTTATGGGACCACTGTAGTATATAGGGTTTTGTTGACCAAAATGTCGTCATGAGATGCACAACCATAACATCTCTTTAGATTTTATAAAGTATATGCTTCCATTGTTTAAAAATGGCAAACACAAAAAGGTATTAAGAATAAAATAAGTATTTATCAGAACCAGCTACATAATTTATGGGACCCAGTGGAAAATGAAAATATGGAGCTCTTTGTTCAAAAATTATTAAGAATTTCAAGACAGCAACAGCAGAGCATTGGACTAAGCCCAGGACCATTCTACATGAGGTGCCCGTGCGTGTGCACAGCTCACGTGCCCAGGAAGCCAGTCCTCCTTACAATCCTCCCACCCAGAGACAGCCCTACTTCTATTTTGGCATAATCAGTTCTTCTCATCTCTTTTCAATGCATATTTTTTACTATATGGGTAAGATCATACTAGAATTAAAATTTCATAGTCTGCTTTTTATACTTGACACTGTTTAATTTGCATTTCCCACAGCATTAAAAAAAACGAAACTCTCTAGCCACCAAATTTAATGGCTGTGTAATATTCCATATATGAATTGGTTTGGTAGGCATTTCAGTTGTTTTGGGGTATTTCCCTTCAATAAATGTGATGAGAAAAATCATTGTGAACAAATCTTTGTTTGAATGTCTGATCGTCTTCTTAAATTTTGACAAATAGAATTTACTGCATCAAATATTTTAATATATTAAGACTTTGGATGCTTATTTCATGTTTGCTTTCCAGAAAGATCATATCAGATTATGATCTTCCCTAAAATACTCTATCTGGCATTGAGTATGATACCAATTTTAAAAGTAAGAATTACGCATTCATTAAAGACCAACGTTTCACACGAGGACCTTAATGCGTCTGAGCACCAACACGGCAGGATGTTAGTATTAGGTCATGTTTAGAGAGGACTTTTTGTTCCTGGTACTGTATAAGCATTTTGCAAATAGTCTTACAGCAAACCTGTGAAATACATACTGTCATTATCCAAATGTACAGATGAGAAAACTGAGGCAGGACTATGAACTATGCACTATGATTCCAGGATGCCATTCACAGAGACTTTGGAGGCTCCTGGGGTCAGACAGTGACTCCACGGGGTGGCCCTCAACTAAGGCCAGCCTTATGGAGCTCGGCCACTTCCACATCTAGTAAGTACGGTTAATGCTCTGAAGTCACTGTGCTTGCTGCACCCTCAGTACTGCTATGTGTCCCTGGTCAGTTCACTTCCTGCTCTCTGTAGTCAAGATTTCAAACCTTCTCCACCCTCCTCAAACCTCCCACTGTGTCTCACCCCTTCTCCCCACACACCCACAACCTGGCCAACCCACCTCACTTTCTTCTCTGCCCTACTCTTGCCTTGTAATTCGCCAGGAAAAGAGAAGGCATCAGTCAGTCATTTGCTCCCCTCCCACCCCAGACAGCCTGGCTGCATTTGCACTGTCTCCGTCAGCCACAAGGATCGCGGGGTTCTGCCTCTGTCTGAAATAAATCTGCCTCCCATGCTGTCCCTACCGTCCCCTTCTCCACAGATCACATCGTTCCTTTTCCTGCTGAATCTTCAGTGTATCACATGTAGATTCAAAGCTGCGTCTGTCTCTCTAATGTTAAAGCAAACACACAAGCTGCATGTCCCCTGCAGTGACTGCTGGACTCTCCTCTCCCTCACAGCAAAACCTTGCCAAACGCTGGTCTACAAACACATTACGCGTTTTCTCTCTTCCCGCTTACTCTTTAACTTCCTGTCACTGGATGAAAATCTCTTCCTACATTTGCCCTTGACCTCCGTAGTGATATATCCAGGAGGCATTTTTCTTTAGGAGTCACCTTATTGACTTTACAGTAGCATTCTATGCAATAGAACCTTCGATCCTTTTTCAAAAAGTGGTTTCCCCTAGTTCTCATGACAAGCTCTCCTGGTTTCCCTTCTGCCTCTTTGGATATTCATTTTAGTCAACTTTGTTGGTTGACCTTCCACTAACCAAGTTCAAGTCTCAATCCTAAACTTTCTCTCCCTGCCTCTTCCCTCCTCTCCCCATTCCTCCTATTCCTTCCCCTTCCCTCTCTCCTCTCCCTCTGCAGGTGAGTTTATTTGCTCCAAGGCCCAGGTTTGAGGCTGACCCCCAGTGGTCGCCTCCTCCCCAAGCCCTCTGTTTCGACACCTAAACCCCCACACCCAGCCTCCTCACAGACATCTCCCTCGGGACTTCTCATCGCCAGCAACACTGGACAGCCTCAAACAGGGCTTCATTGTTCCCCTTACAGCTGCACCCCCTTTAGCCTCAGGCTCTCAGTTTCCGTGCCCGGGACAGGGCGCAATGTTTTAGGTTCCCAACAAATGTTGCTAATGAATGAGTGAGTGCACCTAAAACCTTGCATATGTATTGTTGACGCCGCTCCGTCAGCGTTCTTTGTCACCCATCCTTTAATCAAAGCAAAATGTAATAATCGTTGATGTGTGCTGTCTGACTCTACAATCTCCTTCACAACATACCCATAAGCCAATTTTGCTAATTATTCCAGGTTTTTTGGTGGGTATTGGCCAGAAGGCCCGAAAACAGCTATGTGAGGTTTGCAGGTTATAACCATTTCTCTTTTTAGTCATGAGGCTTAGCCTTTGCAGCCATTTTTTTTTCTTATACTAGAAGAACAAAGCAGATTTAAGATTTCCTTCCTTTCTGTTCTTTCACGTTGGAGAAGCGCCTGAAAGCTGGCACTAGCACCGAAGAAGAAAAGGTTCCCTTAATCCACTACTGGATCCACAGATATGGGAAAATACAAGAAATGACTGACTAGAATACGGATTTTTAAATGCCATTTATGCTACTTTTACCTCATTACACACGCTGGGAGAAAGAAAATGTGGATCAGAGAATACAAACCAGAAGATAATTTAAAAATAGCATTTGCAGTTTTATATAGATGTGAGCACACACACTCAGCAAAGGGGCTGGGCAGGCAGAACAACGCATTCAGCCCCCTCAGCCTGAGTTATTCCTTCAGTGGAAGAGAGAGGGGAGGTGTGAATGTTTAACAGCTGGTCTTCTTGAGAGAAAAATGGCTGGATTTGAAGTGCTTGCCAATTTCCGTGGTGTAAATAGCCCTGCCATTACTGATGTCTAGTTTACCAACACGACAGCACTGAACAAGTTGGGAAGAGATGGGTAGTTGCTCATCATTATATAATATTTCCACCATCAAGGGATATAAGTAACCTCGAGCGCATAGAAAATAGTAAAATATAGTGAAATAATGAAAAACTTATAGATTTTTCTATATGTATTACCTTTGTTTTAATATAAGTTTATATACAAAAATTTAATTTTTAATAATGGCTGAATTTAGTAACCAACTCACAGAATTCCTGAATATGTCACAATTGGGATGAGCCAGCTTCGGCACACCACTGGAGAGCACCCACAAAGAGAGCATTGGTAAATTATGCTCCTTTAAATAAATGTGTACTGATTATAACAAAGCAACATGGGCTTTGGCAGCGTTAAGCAGGCCTGGGTTCAGATCCTGCGTCTTCTACCAGCTATTGACATTGGACAAGATGTTTGACCTCTCTGAACCTTAGTTTTCTTACCTGAAAAATCGGAACCAGTCCTTCCAGGATTGTTTGGAGGATTAAATGAGATATAAAGTATGTCAAATGCTAGGAGCACAGTAGCCGTTACCATTTTCTCAGTCTTCTTTGAGGAAGTTACATAAACCCATTATTCCTGATTATTTTGGTTGCTTACTCTTTTTTTCCAGGAAGGTCTTCAAATCCTACAGAACGAGTAAGACTTCTATCTTTCTATTTTCTTACTATTTACAAATCTTTTCTCTATTTGTGCTGTTATGAGATAGGGGAAATGTGGAAATCTATTGAATTAACAAAGCCATGGACAAATACAATAGCGTATTCCATTGTGATGTTAGACAGGATTGGTGTTGGAGAAGCATAGAAATTTAAAGGTAGCTTGATAACTCGTTTTGGTATTTGCAGAATATTTTTTGTTACGACTCTATGAAAATGTCTTATTTTGAAAGATAAGATTCAAATATGTCTTTTGGTTGACTCTTATGCTTACAAAAGCATAATTATTCCTTATTTTGTTATTATTTCCTAACATTAGCAACAGATGGATTTTTTCAAAGAAAAAAAAATTATGTCCAATTTATTCCCACCACTCACTCCTTTATTTTCTTAAAGGCCAATTTAGTATATACATGGATCTTAATGCTTTTACAAATATATTGATTATTTGGAGAAAATGAGATCTCATGAAATAAATCTCTTCTGACTTGACCAGATGATATACTATCACTTCCTTTGTTTCTACAAAAATTATTCATTTAAAAGATGAGCCCCAGTTAAGGATTTTTGTTTTGTTTTCTTTTAGTAAGGAACTGAAAAATCAAGAGGAAATGTGCCTGTAAAATGCACACAAAGTTGCTTCTATATCTGATATAATACTTAGGAGACCTGAACTTGATTATATACTAATGTACCATGCTATTGATTGATTAGTCAGGGCAATGAATTATTATACTCGAATTGCTGTTTGCAAGCCTTTTTAACTATCTTAGAAAACAAACTAACGGTTCGAGAAAAAGCTTTAAAAATAAATGGGTGCCAAAAGGACATAATTCACCATCTAAGCAGTTTGGTTTGGAGAAAAAAATATATTAACTTCATCTAGTCCTTGGGGCTTTGTAGCAATAAATATTGATTTGATATGAAAAATGGCTATCTACTGTAGTTAATAGTGTTAAGGATACTTTACCTGTTAAAAGAGGGAAAATGCAACAAAATATGAGCTCCAGGGTTATGTCAGTGAGCAGATCCATTGTATGTTAATAGTTTTATTTATAAAACACCACTCTCCATTGATTTTTTTTTTGGAAAGCAGGTGCAAAATTGCTGAGAAAGCATTTCACACAGGTTCCCATTGGTTTTCTTTTCACGCCCAATATTGGTTGTTTTGTAACACCGAGGAAAAAGTGAAGGGTTCCAATAATGTCAGGATTTTTTTTTTCGCTTTTGCTCATATTTAAAGAAGAAAAAACACATACCTGCACCCCACAAGAAGTTGCCATTTTTAGAACACACAACTTTCTCCCAACAGTGCCTCAGTACCGAGCCCCGTTTTCAGTGGACAGCAATTTGTCTACGGTGTGTGTGAACTGGACGGGCTCCTTCCTCCTGAACGGCCCGCTGAAGGAGTACGTGTTAACCGATGGAGGACAACGCGTGTACAGTGGCTTCGACACCATCCTCTACATACCGAGGACGGCGGACAAAAGTGAGTTTCTGACTCCCGTTTCTCGGTGCAAAAGGAGCTCTGTTCCCCAGCTTTATGAGATACTAAATCTGCAAGCTGACCAGCAGATGCTCATTAAAATGTCTTAGTTTAAGTGGCCACTTCTTGTGGAGAAGTTACTGCGCAGAGCAAATAAGGTTTTCTTTCCTTCCCATTTGCTGCCTGACGCACTGCAGTTATAATGCGGCTGCAGGGGACAGCGCTGCCTCCACGGGACATGAGTGTCCCCATGTCCCCGTGAAGGAACAAGACCAGAGGGCAGGTTGTGGTCACAAGAGAAATAGCACCTACACGTAGTCAATGAGTATCCGAAAATAATACACTTTTAGGGACTTCAGAGATTTTCTTGATGTATCTCCAGTCTCCAAACAGCCCCATCAGGCAATGACCATCTCCAACTTTTAAGGACCAGTAAGGGGTTTCCTTAACCTCCCTCTGTATTAGTCCCTGAAAGAACAACCTTTTCCCTCTAAGACCAAATTCCTTCTCCTGTTTAATTACATGTCCTTTTTCTTCTTGTCTTATTTCTAAATTGAAATGAAAAAAAGTTTTACAAGGTGCTAAGTATTTTCTAGTGATCAGCGCACTCACAGGACCCATAGATATTCAGCCATTTTAAGCAATCTGGATTTATACAATGAGTTACTTAGTGGCATTTTGGTTTATTTGAAAATATGATTTATTTTGGCTACAAGATAGAGATAAACAATGAGCTCCAGAATTGTATCTATGGTATTTGAAACTTAACATTTTTACAATGATTCAGCTCCATGTGTTCATGGTTACAGTTCGCGGTTACCTGGGCGGCTTGTTGGGATGGGAAGATGGTCTGTTGGTTGGAAGATGCGTGTTCTTCCTGGCCAGGCTGCTAACCATCTGTGTGACCCTGCGAGAGTTGCTTCCCTCAGGTTCCTGGCAATTGAAAGAGGAATTTAAACCATGTGATTTCTAAGATACCCTTTGAGTTCTCCTGTTCCGTAAGAAACGCTGGGTCACTTAGTGGAAGGTACACCTGTATGTTTTGAAGGAAGGGTTTAGACCATATGCAGAACACGATATACTTTGATTATTATCCTTTACTCCTCTGATAATTCTTTTCCTTTGCTGTATAAGCTCTAATCTTCTTTAGCTCTGTTACTTACAGAAATGCTATTATTACACTAATTATAGCTTTTTTACTTGATCATTTTTAAATTAGAAACCAGTTTGCATATTAGGTAAAACCTCACAGCTTGCTCTGGAATTCTATTTTCAGACATCTTCATGCTATGATATATTGTTCCTTGAAAAGTATGCCCCCTCCTTCTAGGTGCTGAGGGAATGAGTCATTTACCAGTTCTTCCTTTTGTCTAGCCTTTTTTTTCCAGGTCACCTGCACTACAGATGAAGGAAGTGTTAAGACACCATTGATCCAATATGATACCTCTGCTGGATTTGGTAAACATTTAACTTTAATATTATATTCAGTGTAGCACCTACTCATTTTCAAGAAACATGCACATGTTTGTTTATACATACTTGTGCTAATATATCAGCACAGACTATATGGAAGAAATTTTAAGTGTTGTAAGAAATGTTTTAAAAAGTCCTCATGGAACTTACATTAGACAAGGAGTGAAGATATCCTCTTAGAATGACAAATCATTGAATTATAAATGCGGAAAAGACCAGAGAGATCAGACTAAACTCGTCTCCTAACAACAAATCCTGTCAAGAAAGAGTTGCATGATTTTATGTACAAAAAAGCGATGTATAGAGGAAGTCAGAGGAAGGAGAGATCAGAGGATGGGAGAAATTACTCAGCCAATTCATGTTGATCATAAGGGTAATATTCTGGATGCAGAGCCCAAAAATGGTAAATCTGGAAAATTTCTGTCTAGTATTCTCCATAAAAGATTATGATTGTTAATACCAAGTAATTTAACTGAAGAGATAAAATTGTAATATTTAAGGAACATCTTTTAAATTGAGTTCTATTCATAATATTTGAATCTAATATTTGTGATACTTTATAATTGCCAAAATACAGGTTAGAGAAATGCCAAATCTTTTCCATCAAAACAAATTTGGGACTGATACCCTATTATAAATTCTAGTAATTAATACTATATCAAATTTGCAGGCATACATAGGATTTTTTAAAAATAATTATATCCCAAAAAGAAAAAAAAATAATTATGTCCCAAATTTCTGAAACACAGGTAAACGTACATATTGTTATCAAAGATAGTTTCAATGTGTAAAAATATTAAGATATTATTCTATGTTTCCCAACTTTACACGTCTGGATGCCATATAAAATTTCTTACGACACCTAACACAATTCCTTCCACGTAGTTTATCTCATTTTATTTAACAGCAGTAGTGGGGTAGAACAGACCTCATTTGGTATTCTTACAGAAACTCTGATGTTTCTGCAGGTGGACAAATGGAGGTCTGAGGGACACAGGAATTGATCCAGGATTGCTCTGCAAGGTTGTTGCTGAGATGAGAACTAGAATATGGTTTTTCTATTGACTCCTGGCCCAGGACTTTCTCTTTAGCAATGGTTCTCCAATTTAAGGGTGCATAAGAGTCACCTCGCTGTGCTTCTTTACTGTAGGTTCCCAGGCCCCTGGCAGAGATTCAAAATCAGGGGGACCCAGGAATCTGCTCTTTAGATAAGTCCTGCCCAGTGATTCTGATGCAGAGGCCCAGGGCCACACGTGGAGTAATAGCACAAAACCAAGGTTGTTCTACCTTCTAAAGCAAAGCTAGTCTAGTCTCCTTGGTCGATGGAAGTATGTCGTTCCTGGAGGCAGAGAGGGATTCGCTCTTACCCTGGCTGTGGGTTGGGTTTTTCTTTGGATCTGAGGCCCAGCCAGGGAGTTCCATCCTCTGCTGGGGAACCTCCCATGTAATGCACAGGTGGAGCCCCTTAAAGTCAAAGGGTACTTTGAAAAGAAAAAAGGAACTGGATAAAGAGACACCCTCATGATTTCAAGCTGTTCATAAAAGAGGAGAAACCTCCAGTTGGCTCCTGAATACAAATTGAGGTTTGCGTCGCGTGTCTGGAGGCTGGGCTCTGGGCAGAGCAGAGGGAAAGAACTCTGAGGACTGTGCAACGTTATGGCAGATTCCAAGATGTGCTGCCCAACTAATATCCATAGTCAGTTCTCATTTTTGTGATATAACTTTTAAAATGCTCTCGTTCCCTTGCCTGAAGGCAGCCTCCAAGCAGGAAAGTGGCAGAGACCTCATTTTCCTCTGACTGTTCTGAGGGCTATTTCCCTTTTGGGGCTTCCCTCGGGCAGGCTGCCCTCCGTTCCCCCACATGCTCCCAAGCAAGGGGCCCACTGGGCCCATCAGATCAGTTTCTGGAGTTATAGCCAAAGAGTTATTTCCTCTCTGTGCTCCACACCGAGGAAATAGCTCATTCAGTGTATAACCAAGGTTTGTTTTTGATCACACAACACACAGTGGTTCCTAATTAAAGGAATTTCATCCTTTAATTGGAGCTTGAGCAGAGCTTTGACTCCAACCCTTCATTTTTAGAGGCTGGGATGCAAAGGCCAGAGCATCAAATTTTTAATCACAGAGCTACTCAGAAGCAGAGTTAGGGTTGGCAAAGTAGCATGCCTCCTCCCGTGGAGTTCAAAGTTTAGTTTTAGTCACCTTCTCTCCCTCCCTTAAATATTTTCACCCCAATTCTGAACTTTTCCCCCTTAAGTCTTCTTCTGAGAATGTGAGGGTGAGGTACCAGGTAGACCCACGAAGCCCTTGAGGTGCTGAAAAGGGGAAGTGGGTCCAGGGAGTGAGTAGACATTTGTAGCTGTGTCTGTTTGTCCTTGTACCTCTGGCCAGAGGCATTTGCTTTAGATGAGCAGCCGTCTAGCTCCCAGCTCCACGCTGGCAGGTGGGCGGCTCCATTGGATACACAGGCTTCTGCACTGGCCCCAGCAAGCGCTGGGTGGGAGCCGATCTCTGAGGCTCCCTCCTGCTGAGCTTGCCCACTGCCGGCAGGATTCCTCTGCCTAGGCTGTCCTGCGGTGATGGCTGCCAGCCTGCCTCCCATCCACCCCCGCCCATCCCTGCTTTCCCCACATCTACAAGGCTCCACAATCCCGCCCAGCCTGAACCCCTGTAAAGCCCTAAGCAAGAGGGCCTGGCCTGGGTAGATGTTTATTAAATGGGAGCTACTTTGATGGGCCCCTTGTGCAGAGACCCACATCAACTGAACTCTCAACACATGAGCAGAGAGCAAGGCTAAGCGGTCCCATCGCTAAAAGATGTCTTTCCTTAGGAAGCTCTCCCAGTGCATTGGAGTGATGGCTCGCAGAGCTTATGCTATTTGACAGAGAAGCCAGGGGATAAGAAATGTAAAGGTGACATGGTAGCAAACACAGACTGTTAATATTACAATGGAAAATGGAATCTGACATCTCAAAATCCAGTTTGCACAAAACTTCAGGAATGGGGCTGTGGTGTGAAGCGAGGGGACCTCGGATCTCTGCAACAGTGAGTTTGTTTGTGAGTCTGCAGCAATGACAGCAAGGGCCCCCATCCCTCACAAGAGCCCACTGCTCAAGAAGGGACTTGGCTCCCAAGGCACACGGCTATGAAAGCGGCAACCCTCAAGGTTACTTTGGTAACCCCTTTTCAAAGTTACTTCCCCACCCCGTCTTTCCAGGGACTGGCCACAGCCTGAGCAGCCTCGCCAGGAGTGCCGGCAAGGTCTCTCGAAGGCTAAAATCCCACCCACACACTGAACAATCGCCCCAGCCTGCACGCAGGTGCAAACAAGCACCATGAGACAGACTGCTTTCGACTTCTAATTTACCATCAAATAACAGAGGCAGAGATCACAAGTTTGCCTTCTGAAATAACATCTCCCTTCTTCTCCCCTGGGTTTCACAGGCTTGGTGCTAACAACTCCTGGAGAAAAGAAGGGATCGGGGAGCAAAAGCCCAGAGTTCTACAACGAGCTGTGGTTTATAGTTTTAATGGCGATGCTGGGCTTGGTCTTGTTGGCCATTTTTCTGTCCCTGATACTACAAAGGAAAATCCACAAAGAACCATTTATCAGAGAGAGACCTCCCTTGGTGCCTCTTCAGAAGAGGATGTCTCCACTGAGTGTCTACCCACCCGGGGAAAACCATACGGTATGTGTACAGGTGCAGCCCCGCTTCCCTGTCACTGGACTAGAATACTTGTTTTCCTTTAGAGGGAGATGTTTCCAGAGTAACGAGGAACTAGATGTCAGCTATGTTTGACTACGTGTGGGGCCCCAGGGATGCTAACCCTAGAACAGCTTTCTCAACTTGGGCTGCACATTAGAATCACCTGGAAGCTCTAAAACTACCAGTGACTGGACTTTGTCCCAGAAATTCTGATTTCATTGGTCTTGGGTGGAGCCCGAGGACTGGTAATCTTTTTTTCACTCCAAAGGTGATTTTCTGTGTAACCAGGGTTGAGCATTTCTGCCCTATAGTTGTCAGGTGGAGAAGCGATGTTACATTGAAATCACCTGGGGGAACTTACAGGTTCTATTACTGTGTGATTTGGAGGAATTGAAAATAAAAGGGGAGAGGAGGGTAGGGAGGGGCTAAAGTTCTAGTGGTGCTTGGTCTGCCCTCTGGCCTGACGCTCCCTGCTACTGAGGATGGACGACTTCTCAGAGCTCCGGACCACCCACTTCTGAGACAGGAGACCCGGCAGAGGTCTTGGGGGTGAGTACCCCACCAAGCGGTGGTGCAGGACGGTCATGCAGAGCTCGTGGAAGGAGTGAAAGGGGACTGGATTCAGTGGCGTACTCTGGCGTGGGGCTGTGTCTACCCTGAGGGGGAAAGGCTGAGTTTTCTACTCCTCACCAGGCGCCAAGCTGTGTGCCCGCAGGGCCGCATCTACCCAAGGGGAAACTGTTTTTTCCGTTTGCACAAAGGTTCTGTGTGAGCTAGCGGCCACCCTGGGCAGCACCAAATCAAGCGCAGAAACCTGGTCGAAGTGCTTAAGTTTCGTCATTCTAAAAAACAGAAATGAGTGAACAGCAACAGCAGCTGGGTCAGACCCCAGTGGCAGAGGTGTTGGGGCAGAAGGGGCCGTGGGCCCTCTGACACCCACGGTTTGTGGTCGGCAATGGAGCCATGGCGTGGTAGTGGAGGAGCAGAGAGGGCAGCGCTCTGCGCAGCCTGGCCTTGGCTCTCTCCCCGTCACTCTCGTCCCACGGCACCCCTCACTGGCTCTCGGAGCCTCCTCCCTCCTCCTTCCTCCCCTCCTGCCCCCTCCCGCCCGGGAGAGCAGCTCAGCCCACAGGGCCATGGCCGCTGCTCCGGGCAGGGCTCATGCTCCTCTCACGGGTCTCCACACACGTGTCAGAGCCCACCGTATGCTTTGTGTAGAGTTCCCTGGCCCCTTAACCCACTTTTTTCTTTTCCATAGCACTTATCACCGCATGACACCAAATCAGACATGTCTGAGTTGTCAACGGAAAAAAGACCAAACTCTGTAAAATAATTTTAAAGAGATTTACTCTGAGCCAAATTTGAGGACCATGACCCAGAGCCACACCCAGGAGGTCTTGAGCAGTGGACTGGCTGTGGCTGGGTTACAGTTTGGTTTTATACATTTCAGGGAGACAGGGGTTACAGGTAAAGTCATAAATCAATATGTGGGAGGCATACATTGGTTTGGCCCGAAAAGGTGGGCCATCTCGAAGCAGGGGCTTACAGGTTATAGGTGGGTTCAAAGATTCTTTGGCTTTTAATTGGTTAAAGACATGAAGCTTTGTCTAAAGGCTTGGAATGTTTCAACATAAGGAGCTGTTTATCAGAGATGAGCCACAGGTCATAGATTTGTTGTGTAAATTGAGGACCTGCAGGTGTGTCTTACATACCCTTAGGCCTGTTAATGGGTTACAGAGGATGTCCCCAAGAAGGGAGGGGGCATGATAAGGCATGTCTGACCTCCTTCCTCCTGGCAGGCAATTTAGTTTTAGGATATTCCTTTGGCCACAAGGGGGTCCATTTAGTCAGCCGGTGGGGGGGGGCGGTGTGAGCCTTAAAATTTTATTTTAGTTCACAGAGTTCTTAAATAGATTGTACACTTCCGCGGTCAGGGATCCTGTGGGCCACTTCCTGTGTCCCTACCACACTTGGAACAGTGTGTGGCGTGTAACGGGCCGCCACAGATACTTGTTGAACGAATGAGTGTTGCGTAGCCGGTGCAAACCACTGGCCATGAGCTGCTGCCCGGTAAATAGTCATTAGGACACTCTCATTGAAGAGCAGATACTCCAAAGTTTTCCCTTTTGAAGAAAAGCTTTCTCTTTGTCTAAGGCCATGTTCTTAGATAGACAAAGATGCGCGCCACAGCCGGAGGGAAGCCGTGGGAGAGTGAAGAAGGCAGGAGAGATCTGTTCAGCCCCAGGGATTAGCTGAATCAATGCAGGGGCCCATAGAGTGGATGGAGAAAGTGGAGGGAAGTGCCCGAGCCTGCTGGGTATATCTGCTCTGTAACTGACCCACGTACCGGTAGTGGCCAGAACTCACTTCAGGGATAAATTCTTCTTCCCTACAGATAGGTGTCTCCATATCGGAATCCTCCATGAGGAGAGATGCTGTCTTCCCTATTTGGTTAACTTAATAACCAAGCAACACTCACATCATTCCTGTGGGGATGTTATGTCATAAGATAGGGATATAACCCATTGTGACCATGAAAGAAAATTATCGAAGGTTAGCCAAAATAAAGGGAGTACAATTCGCATTATTAGGACTAAATGAAGAGTCATCGTTGGTGACCATGGGCTCCTCATTTACTCGGAGTCAAGGGGAAGAATCTGAACCAGGAACAAGCTGGATTCACCTACTCAGTTTCCCAGATTGACTTTCTTTGTACCCGGGTGGGTCAGTGAGATGTATCCCTGCAGCACCCACACCCCCTCCCCTGCATCTGACAAGCTCTGGTCTCAGTGCTGCAGTAACGCTCTTGCAAACACCCCTGCCCCCTGAACAGGTAGGCGTCCTTTGAACATCAGACCCAAACTGGCAAAAGGATTTTAGGCTGCACTCTGAACAGAGAGAAATAGGCAGAGGTGCCAGGGAATGAGAGAGCCTTTTCTATTTCATTAACATTTCTCAAGGTCACACAGTATATGGTCCAGCTAAGTTCAAGTGCATGTTTTACCTGTAATTTACTTACTGGTCTGAAGATTCTTTCATTCTCTGTAATACTAAACAAATGCCAGTGGTATTCACCCTAGACATTAGTCAATTAACTTCCACTCACCATGGGGTTTTAATCACAGAACCCTGTTACATGTATACATATATATGTATATCATTAAAATATGGGTATGATTGGGCCGTAGTTGGAGAAATGCAAAGAAGGTATTTAAACGTGTTCCAAACACGGACTGATGCCCCCATTTGTTCTCAGTTTGACTCTGTGGCTGATATATCTGATGTGTCGAGCAATGTCACCCTAAAAAGTTACACCATGCACTTTGAGGTATCTCTGTGTGCTGCATGAATGCATGATTTTTTGCATGGTGTGTGGACTGCACAATGAAACGCAGGAACGTTTCATTGACTCGACCAGCTAAGTCAGAGCCCTCAGATGTTTAGAGCAGCTAGATTTTATCTTATGGCACATCCTAGGTCCTATTCATGGAGTGACTTTGTCTTTCTGTTGTTAATGTTAATATGATATCTGATTTGATTTGGAGGCTGGAATCTATGACAGGGAGAACAGCATGGAATGAGAAAAGGGAGAAGGAGGAGTCTATTTCCCTACACTTTTTTAATTTCAGCATATTATGGGGGTACAGATGTTTAGGTTACGTGTGTTGCCCTTGGCCCCCCTTCCCCCCAAGTCCGAGCTTCAAGTGTGTCCATCCCCCGGATGGTGCGCATTGCACTCTTTGTGTATGCATATACCCATCCCCTCTTCCCCTCCTCCCTGCCCGACATCCAATAAATGTTATTCTTATATGTGCACTTATGTGTTGATCAGTTAATACCAATTTGATGGTGAGTACATGTGGTGCTTGTTTTTCCATTACTGGGATAC